ATCCCTGTGGAGCTGAGGTTCTTGTAGATCTCCTGGAGGAGTAATCTCAGTGGTTACTTGGGCTGTTCGACAACCTGCTGGAAACCTGGAGAGCGCATCGGCGTTAGCATTTTCTTTTCCAGCTCTGTATTTCACCTCAAAATCAAATGCAGCCAGCTGTGCCACCCAACGTTGCTCTGTTGCCCCCAAGCGGGCATTTTGGAGGTGGGCTACTGGATTATTGTCTGTAAATACAACAAACTTCGCCCCTGACAAGTAGTCTTTAAACTTTTCTGTAATTGCCCATTTAAGGGCTAAAAGTTCCAATTTAAAAGAGCTGTAATTCTTGTCGTTCTGCTCTGTTGGATGTAAACTCCTGCTGGCATATGCAATCACGTGTTCTTGCCCATCTTGTACTTGGGCCAACACAGCACCCAAGCCGTGGTTGCTAGCATCAGTATAGAGCACAAATGGTTTTGAAAAATCTGCATAGGCCAAAACGGGGGGTTCAATCAGGGCGTGCTTCAGACGTTCAAATGCTTCCTGGCATTCCGTGGACCACTGGACCTGTGTATTTGATGAGCGGTTAGAACTTCCATTTAAAAGGGCATTTAAAGGTCGAGCCAATTTAGAAAATCCTGGGACGAAGCGTCTATAGTAACCTGCAATCCCCAGGAAGGCTCTGACCTGGCGGATGGTAGATGGAACAGGCCAATCCTGAACTGCCTGGATTTTCTCTGGGTCTGGTTTCACCCCCTCTTGGTCAACCAGATGTCCAAGGAACTTCACTTGTTGCTGGAACAGCTTGCACTTATCCAACCGCAGCTTCAACCCATGTTGCCACAGCTTCTGGAAAACACTCTCCAGTTGCTGAAGATGGGTAGAAAAATCAGGTGAGTAGATTATTATATCATCCAGATACACCAACACAGATTCAGACAGGTGATTACTTAAGCACCGCTGCATCAGGCGCTGGAATGTGGCTGGGGCATTACAAAGCCCGAACGGCATCCGATCAAACTCAAATAGGCCTAATGGAGTAGTAAAGGCGGTTTTCTCCCGATCTCTACTATCCATTTCCACCTGCCAATATCCACTGGCAAGATCTAGGGTGGAGAACCACTGTGCTTTGGTCAGGCATGTCAGAGTCTCTTCAATTCGAGGAAGGGGAAAAGCATCTTTATGCGTTACTGCGTTAAGCTTCCTGTAATCCACACAGAAACGCCAGCTACCATCCTTCTTCCTCACCAAGACAATCGGGGAGGCCCAAGGACTACTACTCTCCCGAATTATGCCTTTTTCCAACATGTCTGTAAGAAGAGACTTAATCTCTTTATACATCAGTGGTGGTAGGGGACGATACTTTTGTTTAATCGGTGGTGCGTCACCTGTGTGAATTTGATGTTGGACCAGATCAGTTCTTCCATGATCCTCTTCATTCACAGCAAACACCTTCTGCCATCTCTGAAGTAAGGCCTGCAGCTCTGCTTCCTGTTGTGGGGTCAAGCTCTTACAGTTAAGTAGTTTGCTCACCTCCGCTTTTGGTATTGTAGGCTCCTCCATCCCAGCTGTCTCCACCACAGCAACTTCCACCACA